TGTAATTGATCAAAGGTGCTATTATATGAGTAACAAATTATGGCAGCCAAAAGAGTCATACAATTCTCTGGAATGCATTCAAATTTTAAAGAGTAGTTTTCCTCAGTAAACCATTCGTATTGGATAAGCTTGCTCTCCAGTAGCTTGTCTTGAAAGTGCTATATTGTCCATGGTTGTTATATAAGTTTTAGGGTTGCCAACTAACAAATCTTGTGCAATGTTTTTAACTCAAAACAGTTGAAATGTAATTGTAGATCCTTACTATCGTGAACGCAGTGGACTATATATCGGCATGGGAACAGCTATGTTGTCAAGGGCTGGGATGTTTCGTGTTCCTCATGGAATTGCGGTGGATTTGAGCAATAGAGTTTTCAGATTGCCTTCTTTACATAGTAAGATTCTTCTTTTGCTCTAGCTCTAGGTTTGCTTTGTACTTCAGCTTACAATTTATGACTCTCAGTATCTTATCTCATCATGGGGCATTGCTCTTACATTGTCGTTTTCGCTCCTTAGATGTCCTTGAGGGGGAAATCTTTCTTCAAAACCTGCCAAGTATTATTGTTGCTCATGCTCTTGGTAAGTCATATTAATTTTCGGCCTACAGTATGCTTATCCATTCACCCCTTTTAATGATTTAGTTTACAAATGTCCATAATTCAAATAAAGTAGATCCTAGATAGTAGATACGATGAGAAGGCCACAGTAATACAAGATTGACGAGATCCTAAATTCTTATCTTGGCTGCACAGATCCTCAGAAAGGGGAGAGAATATTAGATATGTGTGCAGCACCTGGAGGGAAGACTACTGCAATTGCTATACTTATGAATGATGAGGGAGAGATAGTGGCAGCAGATAGATCTCATAACAAGGTTCAGTTTCTTATGATTAAGTAATATTTATTGAAACAGACATGATTTCTGTTGGGGTTGACTTGCTTGCCAATTTACATTGAAGGCTTAGAACACAAAACACAATTTCTGGTTTGGATTGCAAAATTACATGCTCTAATTAGTTCGTTTACTGTTTTCCAAAACGCAGGTGCTGAATGTCCAAAAATTGTCTGCTGAAATGGGATTAAGCTGCATAACTACATGTAAATTGGATGCACTAAAATCTGTCTGTATTCCAAACCCACCCAATGATTCCACAACAATAGTTAACAGTGATAATAATAGTTCCATGACCAGCCATTCTGAATTATCATCAAGAGAAGAAATGACATCACTTGCTTCTAGAAAATCCAAGGCTGACAAATCATGGGAGGAAAATGGTAATTAAGCTACTCTCTCATAGTGTTTGCTTGGTTTAGTTGTTTTCTTCCAAATGTTGGCCTCTTTATTTACTAGGTGAGAGTACCTCAACAAATTTGCCATGTTTGACCTTAGTTATGACTTTGGCATCAAACAGATACAGAACATAACTTTACTAAATTGGTATCTGTAGCCCATTATCTCACGTGTATGCATGTGTATTCCTATATGTATTTTCCGGTTGTTTTCAAAAACTAAGCCTGATTTTCCCATTTTATCACCCATGTTTTAGCCAGCCCTGAACAGACAAATGGAGGGAATAATGTTAGCCAAGCTGACATCAGGAAGAATAAAGGAAGGTTGAAAAATGGTCGCGGAAGAACTCAATGCCAAGGTGGAAGGGTTGGAAAGTCACAAGGTTTCCCGCCTGATAGTTTCGATAGGGTTCTTTTAGATGCTCCTTGTTCTGCCCTTGGCTTGAGACCTCGTCTTTTCGCTGGACTGGTAAGATAAAAGTATCTACTTCGCATGAGTTAACAACGTGTACACATTGTAGTTTTTGTGTCAACATGTGATTTAGCCTTAGCTTAAGCACTTGGATGTGGCGGAAATATGATTTCTAGTAACTTCTTGAAGCAATATATATACTGATATACATGTAGACCAAAATCTTAAGTGTTTGTAGTAATTCAGAGTAAAACCTGTGTTTCCTCCTTCTTCATGTTTCTAAGATTTTTCAGAGGGTGGTAACTTGTGGAATGAATTTGCTTATTTCTTGTAGGAGACTGTCATATCTTTGAGAGACCATGGACGGTACCAGCGGAAAATGTTGGACCAGGCTGTTCAATTGGTTCGCGTTGGTGGAATTCTCGTATACTCAACGTAAGTATGCGAACATAATCTGAAATCTGTTAAATTCTGAATATGCATTATCCAAGCTATGCAGCTCAGTCACAGTCTTGAGGAACTGAGAGTTACTGCAATCTTACCTGGGATAATTTGTTTGCCATTTTGCTAGGTGCACGATTAACCCTAGCGAGAATGAGGCTGTGGTTCGCTATGCTCTAGATAAATACAGATTTCTTTCTTTAGCACCACAGGTTTGGATCTAAAATACCCCTTTCGTTGTCAAGTTCAAAGCACATAAAACATCTAAGAAACTGTTTGAGATCTTTGCAAATATTGAATTAGGATCTTGTTCGTTGTTCTAATGTATCTTCATGTGGTTCTGTCTTGTTGAAGCATCCTAGGATTGGAGGACCTGGTCTAGTTGGTCGATGTGAATTCCCCGACGGATATATCGAGTAAGTATATATACCCATTAGGGTCAATCAACAAAGCATAGCTTAAAATATATTGATGATGATAAGAAGAGATGGCTCTCATTTACGGACTATAAATTCCAATTAACAAAACCGAGTGATGTTTTGCAGGGAGTGGTTAAAACCTGGTGAAGAAGAAATGGTTCAGAAATTCGACCCATCATCTGAGCTCGATACCATCGGGTTCTTTATAGCTAAGTTCAGCGTCGGCCCCAAGGATTAGGATCTCAAAATGCTGATTCCTTATCCAAGACATTCCCACAAAAAAATGGTGGTTTATACATTTGTCTTTGAATTTTAGATTGTATTTTTTGATTGATCTCGTTTTTAAATGAGATGTATAATATTGTTTTGATAACATAAAGCAGTTATACATTAATTAGACAACACTTTAGTTGGTTCTTCCTCTTGTTCATCCCACAAGCTGTTTGGCTTCAAGAGTCTTCTCGTACTCTTCAATGGACTTGAAGAGCTCAGAGAAATTGCCTTTGCCAAAGCCACCACATCCTCCACTCTGGTAAGCCTTCCCTTCCTCATCTTTCATCATGCATCCTACTCTCTGGATTATCTCTATAAATATCGTTGGCCTATTAACACAATCGTAAACAAGAGATTGCTTAGTAAACTGTAATATGTTTATCATCCATTGGATTGTTAGGGAAGTGTAACATGTTTTACATCAAATGAACTGTACCTGTCACCAAGTGGTTTTGTGAAGATTTGAAGCAACGTCCCTTGATCATCTCTGTCTACAAGAATCCCTAATTCCTCACACTCCTTGATCTGTTCATCGCTCAGCACGTCGCCGACCCGTTTCTTCAGATTCTGGTAGTAAGTAGGCGGAGGAGAAGGCATGAAGTCGAATCCTCCAATACTGCTCCTCTTCCTCATCTCTCTCAGGGTCCTGAATATATCTTCACTCATCAGAGCCAGATGTTGTAGCCCTGCGCCTTCGTTGTGTTCCAAATACGTCTGAATCTGACTCTTCCTCTTCGTACCGTGCACTGGCTCGTTAATCGGCAGAAGAACCATTTCATCATTGTTAGCCAGCACCGCTGAATTTAAACCGCTCTCGGCGGTTCCCACGTCGTCTGCTGTGAACTCTGCGAATTGGTGGAAACCAGTGAACCCCGCGACATAAGTCAAAGCCGGACCAAGTTCCGGAACGTTACCCACGGCGTGGTCAAGCCGACGTATACCGTAATCCAATGGAAACGACGACGTATCCTCCACAGGCTCAAATCCTGGCAAGAATTCAGATTTATCGGTGTTTCCGCCTTTATAACTAACATATCGGAGAACGACATCGCCGTATAGTTTAACCTCAGCAATCGTAACTGATTCGTCGAGGACGATAGGAGGCGACGAAGGAATAGCACCATTAGCGACACTGATGGAGAAAGCTGACTCTGCGTCTTCTACTTCAATCGCAACGGCTCTTACGCCGAGACCATGTGAAGAGAAGAAGGAACGACAAGAGACGTGATCGAAACTTGGGATAGAAGCTGTCATTGTCGGTTTAATTTCTCCGGCGGAGAAAGACGGGGAGTAGGGAGCAGTGAAAAGGAATCGGAGGTCGCCGGAGGTGAGTAGGTAAGAGGCGTGAACCATGTTTCCAGTGGAGAGATCGGATTTGGCGGAGAACCTCATCCCGAGACCCCAGGAGAAGCGACGAGCGACGTTGGTGGCGTCGCCGCACCAGAACTCGATGTGGTGGAAGCACTTAACCTTGAATTTATCAGACTTTGGATTCTTCCTAACGAACTTGGAAAATCCGACGAGCTTGAATCCCGGCGACGACGCAGCGCCGTCATCATGGTGTTGATTCTCCGAAACGGCAGCGTTCTCGTGGCCCATTGATTTCACCAACTCTGCTATTCCAGCTCAACGTAACACAACAATACGACGGATTTTATTGATTAAAATTAGTATTTTAGAGGTAAGAAAGGAAAAAAGATCGTCTCGTGTGTGTCTGAGAATGTCAGGTCAACAGATGTGGACTGTTAGTGGACATCGGAGGGTACACGTGTACGGTCAGATGTTGATTCAAAGATAACGTTCCGTGATGGATCTCCCTGCTTCCTCTTTGGCTGATCCTTGTCCAGTTACAGAATGCTGACGTGTAAGACCTATCTACCGTTTAGAATATCAAAAAAACGAATGAAAACTACTATCCAACCATATTATATGGACGAGGCAAACATGAAATCTAGTGTTTGGTAATTCGATAGTTTTGGTGGTGTTTGAGATTGGAGACTTGTAAAAGACTGAACCACTAATGTAATCTTTTTTATCTGTTAATGACAATCTTCTCATACTTTGTATATGTAATGACCCGTTTGGTCGAATCTTCGTTTGCCTAATTGCATATGACAATGTTACTGTAGAAAGTTAAATTCTAAAGTTACAGAATACAACATGCTAAATCAATATCAGCTTCTATGGCAGCAAATGTGCTTATGAAAGAAACAACCTTTACATGTATGTACAAAACTACACTTGCAACATCTAGTGCTAATGGCCGAACACTCCAGCTTCAACTCTTCACATGTCCAAACCAAATCAATCTACAAAATGCCATGAGAGTTGACACCGTATCCTCTCATTCCCACCCTAAATGTGATTAAATCCATCACGCCTCCTAGGTTAAAGTTTGTCCAATTTACTATTTACCTCTTTTATACGTCTACTTAATTGGCATAAGCCCATCATCTTTTTTCATTTTTCTATACAGCTCATGCGCTTCAAGCCATAGTCTTTTCCTACGCAAGCCTATCATCATTGTAGTGTACGTTATAACATCAGGACTTACCCCTTTTAGAGCGAGACTGCAAAATAAATACCAAGCATCTTCCACCTTATTAGCCTTGCACATCCCTTTGATGATAATATTATATGTAATAATACCAACAACTGTTTCACTCTTTTGTAAATCCTCCAATTTCACCAATGCTTTTTCTATTTTTCCATGCTCACACAGACCGTCTAGCAACATGTTAAAGGTATAAATATCGGGAAGCACCCCACAAGAAACCATCCGAGCTAAAACCTTTTCGGCAGCATTAAATTGGCCCGCTTGACAGTAACCCTGGTAAAGAGTGTTGTAAGTGAATGTGTCACCATCCACTCCGTCATGCGACATTACGCACAAGATTTTCATCGCATCATCTACCCTCTTGGACTTGCAATATCCATTTACGAGAGTATTATAAGTCACTGCATTGGGGAAGAAACCTTTACTTACCATAAAATTAAGCACTTTTTTGGCTTCATCTAGAAGACCGTGAATGCAAAGCCCGTTGATCAGTGAATTGTATGTGACTATATTAGGGTCAACTGACCTTTGAATCATCTCGTCGTACTGTTTTTTAGCCTCTAAAAGCTGCCCCTCTTTCCCAAACACATCGATCATAGCACTGAAAGTGATTACATCCGGGTGGATTCCCATCCTCATCATATCACTCAGTATTCGAGCAGAGACGCCCCATTTACCAGAATGGAAAAGGCGAGTAATGAGAGAGTTGTAGGTAATAACATCCGGTCTAATTCCCATTTTTTCCATATGGTTCAAAACGTCCAGCGCAGTATCCACTTGTCGGTTTTCGCAAAGACTATCAATGATAGTGTTGTAGATTACAACATTAGGTTCATATCCCAATCCCACGATTTGATCAACCAGAGACATGGCCTCCTGAATTCTATTTACGTGACAGAATCCATTCACCAGAGAGCCAAATGTAACAATGCTGGGCTCAAAACCAAGCTTCATCATCTTTCCCAGACATGACAGAGCAAGAGAGAGTCGAGAGCATCGACAGAAGCAATCGATTAAAGTACTGAAGCTATAGAGATCATGTGAAATTCCCAAAATCTCTATATGCCGAAAGAGAGAGATCACAGCTTCATACTTCTTCAGCTTAGCAATGGCAACCAATAATCTACTGAAATCAACAATGGAAGGGAGGGGACGAGACTCAGCCATGTCACAGAACAAAGTAAGTGCATCGTTAAACTTAATAGAGTGAAGCCCACTTCTCAATCTCTCTCGGTAATCACTGCCACCAGAAAAAGCTCCGAAATTGCACACGTTTAATGAGAGAGCAGTTACAGGATTACCTTTCTCCAGAAGATGCCGATGAAGAAACCCCTTCGCCGTTAACGCAATCACAATCAAAATCGATCTCCGCATCCGACGAAATTTTGACAATCTAGTTCCTGGATGAACCCTAAAAGAAGATCCGAAGAAGACGCCGAGTAGTGCTCCGGCGAGCAGGGAGGGATCTGATTACCCGTTCCCGTTAAGTTCAACAGAGAGGGTTTTAGCTACTGTTTCATTCCAAAACGACGACGTTTGACAAATTGGGTTTCCTTAATTGTCAATTTGTCATTAGTAGTGTAATCTCAGTCTGTTGTTTCACATGAGTGAGTACTTGATAATGCTGTTCATGATGGATATATGCGATTCTGTATTTATTCACAATCTTGTTTCATTTTCACACAAAGAAAGAGACATTAAGTCAAATTTCACTTGCAAAAGTTTCTCAAATTATCTTTGATGACTTCCTCAGTGTCCTACATTTTAGAGAAGTTATACAAGGTTACAATCTTGACAAAATTCGGAACATTAGAACGAGTCTTGCTAAACAACATGATTACAACTTAAGTTACAAGCTTTGCACAATAAGCTTATTAAATAACATCTCAAGCCATGTTCTGTTCGACATCTTGAGGGTTCTCGAGAGCTATGATATGCATCTTAAACAAAGACGCAGCTTCTTCCCTCTCATCAAGCTGCCCAAGCTTGTCATATACCATCGCCATTAAGTATGAAGCTTCCGCCGCCAGTTCATGGTACTGCACAATAAACACAACTACTAAGTGAACTAAGATCCAATTTTTTTTGGTTATGATGAGCTAAAGGAAGCTGAACCTAATTATAAGAGTTCCGTTTTATTTTTGAATCAAAAGCAACATAGCATCTCTTAAGCGTATAGCTCAGGTTTGTTTCTGAACAAAAAGATACATAGCACTCTTATTGACACAAGTTACCTCCAAAGCTTGAAGCTCATCTGAAGCTTGCCTGAGAGAATCCAGGACAGTGTCAGAATCTGTGGAAACTGGTAACAACAGTAAAAACAAATTAGAAACTCGCAATGAGCAAGATAAACCTTTATCCATAACAGTCAGATTCTATTCATTATGTTCTGAACATCCTCGCTTAGGCTGAGACAATGACTGTTCGATATTCCAACTACGACACATGAACTATAGTCAAGCAGTATAGGACAACAAAAGCTACCTGAAAAACTTGGATCAGAAAGATAGCAGTTTGCTTCAGAGATGTAAGCTCGAGCACGCAACTCCAAACCTCCATGGCCAAGAATCATAGGGAAAGCCCCATGCAAAAGGTCTAATGCTCGTTTAGCATGATCTGATCCAAGACCAAGCCACAGCTCGGCCAGTGTGAGAGTAGCTGATGCTTTGAGAAGATCCAAGTTGAATGACTGGCAAAACGAGATGCTTGCCAGCGCATATGGAAGACCCAGGACCGCATTTCCTGACTTCTGAAAACCAAAAACGGGGGAAGCGAAAGATGAAGTCCAGTCAGAAAACCAATAAAAAATTTGAAAATAATACCATAGTACGACACTTTTCGATGTAGTCTAAGACCAATCAGCAAAGAAAGAGCACATTCAGAACATATACATGGATGTTAAGCTATGTATGCATGGGGACGGGAAAAAAAATCCAGAAATTAAAAAAAAACTGTTTCTATTGCAATTTGGTATGGCGGAACAAATTTTCAATGAAATATCAGTTTCCAATCAATGTGCTCTCAAGCTAGTAATTTCTTGTAGCCATGTCTTACCTTATGGATCTCTGCGAGCAGAAGAAGAACAGACGCCTTTTCGATTTGCAAATTGAATTTGTGACATGTGCAGAAGAGGGAGTGTGCCACATTTGCTGCCTGTAGAGAACGTAGTACCAAAGCAAAATGAAGATACGTTCACATTTCATAGCACATGGCCTGAAATTATAGATATCACATGGACTTAAAACAAATGGTCAATACGAATTTTTTTACAAACCTGGCTATACTGTTTTGCTGCAAGCAAAGTCCGAGCTTCACGAAGACTTGCTTCTACTTTCAGCTCCATGTCTACACCCATGGCTGTTGATGCCAAGCCTCCTAGCTCATTACATATTCGTTGAGCTAGTTGTAGATTCCCACTAATGGATTTAACAAAGTTAGAACAGCTGACTTAAGATATTAACGATTCCAGTACAATAGGAAGCCTCTGTTCATATTTTATACCCCAATGAATTTAATACTGTTTCAAAGCATTTGAATCTATCTATATAACCCTTAAAACCATACAGTAAGTGACCACAGAGGGCAGATATTACATCAACTTTGTGGGTTTTATGAGGTTGCTTAAGCAAAATATCAAACAAAAGCATTTTATTTAGAATTCATCAGTGCTGTAAAATAGTGAAACTCCGGCACGGAGTTACTTGTGGGGGAGGAACAGTTGATTAGAAACCCCCTTCCTTTCTCGTAATCATGAGGTTAATTGGGACCAAGAAACGGTATATAACATGAGGAGTGCATGTTTTACATGGGAGACTAGGAACCTTACCAATGCAAGGCACGCTCATGTAGTAGCTGCAACTTGAGCAACAATATTTTTGATTTTGATACGGTTAAGAACTTTTCCTCTGCGATCTTAAGAGCAGCAAAGGCATCTAGAAAAGCATTGGTTTCAGAAAACAGGTCAACATAGGAAAAGAAAAACCATGAAGCAAGATCTAAATAAATACCCTGCATGTAGAAGAAGCAGCAACATATAAACATGATCAGAAAAAATAGCAGAAAGTTCTGACTTTTTTACGCTGACATGGCCTTCTTATTCATTCTACTGAAAGCTATAATATTTATTGCGAAGGATCATCAAGGTTCTTTGTATAGGTTTATTTGTGACTTGAAATACTGAGGCAGGTATAACAAGGTGTGCATGACCTTGTGCACAGATTCTAACCTTTGTATCCTTTATATAGTGCCAAATGTTGAATGAGCTTCAAGTATGCTAACTCTGCGTCAGATGAACTGTAGATGCAAGAAATAGATCAAAATCACTCAAAACGAATGTAAGAGACTGTTTTCGAAAGAAAAAAGAGCTAGAAAGGGTGAGGGAGAGACAGAGAGAGGGACTGAGAGTAGAACAGGAAAATGATATATTTCAAGGAAATTACCTAGAAGAGTCACCGAATAAAGTTGCATACACCAAGGTATTCATCCGAGCCATAGGAGCGCTAACAAAAGCAAATGAATTAATAAATTACAGAAAATCTTCAAGTTCATATAATTAGTAGAAAGGCAAGGTCAGCAAAGAAGAAACTGTATGAGTAATGAGTTCATCAACATTAAGGGTTTGATCAGTGAGAAATTAAACTATGGAATTTCTAGTTATCTTACTTAAAGTGAAATGCATAAGCTTTCAAATGAGATGGAAGAAACTGTGACAAGATGAGTGAAAAACACCCTCCCAGGAATAAGAAAATATAATAAGGATGGAAACACAGATAAAGTAACAGCAAGTGGAGATAAGTGAGACGATCATGATTTCATCTCCTGGATGGGTACTGGAAGCATCAAAAGCAACATGAAGACAATGCTATGGAGTTCTAACTTAGTAACTTATATATTAGCATATTTCAGCTTATAGTGGACTACACGAGGGAGACTCATACACTAGTAGTTTACACAATTTCAAGGTCAAAACAAGCAATTTCACAATCAAGTAATATCCTCACAATTTTCCACTTCTTTCTAAGACACAACTGAATGGGAATATGCTGCACCTATCAAACAACTGAAACAACAGAGGTATACGGAAATTGCGTGCAAAAAAATGCCTACATCAAACTTGCAATAAACAATTCTTCACTAGTTACAATGCTGGTCAACACTCAGAAAATTATGCAGGGGAACTTTCTAAGTAACAATCATCTTCAAACCGAAACCCGATATCAATCTTACCTGCCAAATAACTCCCATGAAGTAGCCCGGAGTAAATATGAAGCACCTATTAAGTGTGCCACAGATCCAGGAATTGAGACTAAATGATCACAGAACTGGAAAAATGTCGAACTTTTTCTAGAACCAGAGTCCTGGGAAATCACAGGTGGACCCCATGGTTTTTGCAAGTCTTTAAGCCAAGCCGAGCTTAGAGAACCATCAATTGTCATTGTAGAGCTTTCAGAAGAAAAGTCGCTGATTAGGTGTGCCCCTAGTCTTATTTCCTGCCATGGTTTATTCAAGAACTGATTAGACCTCAAATGGAGATGTGAATATTTCACTTTAGTCAAAATAGTTGGGTGGTATATCAGTACCTTGCAGACACTAACTGGACAAGTTTTGTGATGCGTAGAAGCTTTGGGACCAAATGACAGTAGAGGCCTTTGCACATGCTGTATTACAACAAAATAACTATTCTGATTTGGCGTATATGAAAGATTAGAAAAAAGAATATATGGATTTTCTCTACTTAGTTGACATTACTTGGCAATGCCCTACATATAGGGCTAGCAGCACAAACAAATCAAACAGATAATTTGAGTGTACAAGTTCGTGCAAATTCAAGCTTTGTATGTCTACTTTACAGGAAAAAACAAAGACAAATATGAAATAGAGACACATGCCAAAGGCAAATTGGTGATTTCCTTTCTCTATAACACATCATATATTTTCTCATTAGAAAAAATTGAGACGCTGAAATCATTTTCTATGGAAACAAAGAAAAAACATTAATTGCTCCAGCTTCTTCCTATCTATCTATTCTATCCTATGTGCTTCATCCCTTTTCTTTTGTGTTTTCTTTTTCTCATGAGCTACGTCACAAACTCTTCTATATATATTTCCCCCACATGTTTACATTTTCGAGTTCTATAAAGAACTTCTCTAATTGTTGAGAGCACAGTGATAATTCACGGGTTCTTTGTGCATCAAAAGATGTGAGGGACACACAAGGTTCTAAATGAAAAATCATACCACAGATTCTCAGGACAGATAGAGATATATCTAAATAAATAAGGAAAAAACTATGTTCATCACAGCTAAGTAAAGACCTTACCATCAACTCAAATTTAGCCATTGCAAGATGATTAGAAGCCACTAAGCGTCTTAACTTTAGACTGTCAGCTCTCCTCAAAGACTCTTTCAAAAGTATGTACACTCTTTGTTGTACAGATAATGAAGACGCAGTGCTAGTGACGGGTGAGTACGAGGACCCGAGAACACAGGTGGTACTTGCAATGCCCATTTCTGATAACAAGTTGCTCATTGCTGCTAGCGTATATGCTAGACAAGTATCG